TATTTGCAATCTGCGAAATTTCGACAACAACGGGATAATGAACTTTCAATAGAGAGCTGTGACTTTTGTTCTTTTATGAGCTAGATGGTTAGTTCTAGCAATGGTTATGTCACTTTTACAGAGCTTATTAGAAATCAACGCCAAAAATGTTAAATTCATTTTTTTGTGAAAAATCTCTTCCATCCCTCAACATTGACGGGCGGTAAAAAAATTTTTTTTTTTAATTTACGTAGTATTTCGTTATTCATTTTATTGTAAAAACTATTTAAAAACATGTAGAATAGACCCTGCAAATTTTAGCTTGCTACGATGAGTCTATCATGTCACATTCGTTGTTGTGTTGCGATAAACGTAAGAAACGCAATAGAATCCTTACCACCTACAAGTACAGAACCTATTCTGTTTAGCCGCTCTTTATGGTGATTTACCGACAAATGTGGAAGATAATTTAATTTAACTAAATTTTAAAGAACATGTTCGAAATGGCCTCCATTATTTTCTATACACAAGCGAGACCGTCTAATAAAATTATCTTTTAGTCTTTGAAATGAATTTGCGTTTTCCATAATATTTATTTTTACTTCATCAATTTTCTGAAGTAGTTGGTTGACATTTGTATATTCAGATGTATAGGTTATCCCCTTATAAAAATCCCCATATAAAAAAATATAGAGGATTTAAATCGGGTGACCTTGGAGGCCCTCGTATGTATCCATCTCTACCTATCCAACGCTCACGAAATACACTGTCTAAGTAATGCCGTACATCCCCTGCAAAGTGGCATGGGGCACCATCGCAGTGCAAATACATGCGGCTTCGAACGTCCAAAGGTACACATCCTTAGGAATGTCAAGCATAAAGCAAAGTTATACAAGAACTACAAAAAGGGTCACAATAACCATCTACATGAACAGTACAAACGTCTTAGATCTGAGGTAAAACGTCAAATATCTGTGGCCTATAAAAATTATACACGTAATGTTAAGATCCTAAACATTTTTGGACTTTGTGCATACAAAAAATCGAACTACTAAGATTCCTGGTAAAATGAAGTTGAATGACGTATCACTGAACGATCCTTACTGTGCTGTCAATGCATTTGCAGATTTTTTAATAATGTTTTTGTTAATCCATCTACTTGTAGTGATTTTATTGAAGGAAGGAATCCTACTAGTAAGGTTAACATATTTTTTAATTACATTCATGAAAATGAGATTACTGCTCCATCTAAAAAACTCAAGAGTAACGGCCGGCCCAGACAACATCCCCTCGTTCATAGTCAAGGATTGTATTCATGTCTTTGTTAAGGCGTCATTAAAAATATACAATGTGACTATAGAAACCAACACATTCCCTGATATTTGGAAACTTTCTGGAGCGAGAACTATTTTCAAATCAGGGGTTAATACTGATATTAAAAAACTATAGAGCGGTGGCAATATTGTCGAATTTCTCCAAATTGCTAAATATAATATTGCATAATAGAATTTCCTCCGCAGTTCATAGATATCTGTCCCCTTTGCCGCATGGTTTTCTTACTAAGAGATCCACAGTAACTAATTTAACAATCTTCACTCAGTTCGCTATTGAACTTGTCGATCGGCAAGGTCAACTAGATGTAGTATATATCCATTTTGCTAAAGCGTTCGATGGGGTGGAGCATGGCATAGTTTTGAATAAGCTTTTTTATTATGGATTCCATTCATCAGCTTTAACACTCATTCAAAGTTATCTTCATGAAAGGAAGCAATATGTTACTTTTAATGGATTCAATTCGTACCAGTATATAACTAAATCGGTAGTGCCTCAGGGTTCAAATCTTGGACCTTTATTGTTTACCTTATTTATTGATGATGTTGTGCATTATTTGAGTTGTAATAAGCTCCTCTTTGCGGATGATTTAAAATTATTCAGGATTATCGAGTCTGAGACTGAGTGTAGTGTAGTCAGGCACCCATATATGTGATGTGTGAAACTTTCACTCCGATATCAAATTCTGGTGATATACATGCTGACAATTTGAACAGCATTCTGGAAGTAGCTAGAAGTTGCTTGGATAATTTGTGATATGTTACTCACCTGAGTGAAATATTTTTGTTTGCTTCTTTTTCTTGTTTGTTTTTTTTTAAATGTTTTCTGTTCTTGTTATTTTGATTTATTTTAGGGTTGTCCTGTAAATGGTTTCCTTAACTGTTGGGCAATAAACGATATTTACTTTACTTACTTTACTTTACTCTAGCAGCTCATGCAAACTGCTTTGTAGAGAAGCAAGATATGACTGACCATTCAACCTGGCTGGCAATCCATATGGTCCAATTAATTTTTTGTTGTGTACTCCAGCCCTTGAATTAACGCCGAACTGACGTTGAAAGCTGTGTCGGCGAATAGTGAGTGGATTTTCTATGCTCCGTGAATGGAGGTTGTGCATGTTGTATATTCCATTTCGGTTAAAGTTCGATTCATCTGTCCATAAGATGCTGTTGAAAAAAGATTCATCCTCTACGCAAATTCTCAGCATATTCTCACAAAATTCATCCCGTTGTGCATAGTCGCTTGGAAGCAATTCTTGTACTTTTTGTACATGGTAAGGGTGCATGTTCTCCGAGCGTAGTATTGTGTGCGCTGAAGTATGGGATATGTTTCTGCTTCGGGCAATGGCTCTGGTGCTTATAGAGGGATCTCTGTCGGCTGCTTCTATTAAATCGTCTAGTTCTTCGGGGCGCTCCTAGCTGACGATGAGTCCAGCTCTTCTAACCACATACTCCCTATACATGCGAGCAGCTGCTCGAGCATTTCCTAGGGTAGCACCATAATATTAATGCATTACTGGATAATCTCGCGGAGAATATGACATGCCAAACATTCGATACAAATTTCGCGCTGACTTAGTAATTTCGATCGGGCCGATGATTGAACGCTGCCACAACGGGAATACCGAGTTGAATGTGCAAGCTCATTAAGCTGATTTGGCTATTTGCGTAAAAAATCCGCCATTTTGATTTTACAAAATGTTAATACACACAGTATCGCTCGCACTGCTAGGACGAATCTAACAGTGCTTCATATGTCAAAATCCATCAAGTCGTTTGGACTCTAGCTCGTAAAATAGCCAAAAAGTGATTGTGAGTTATTAAGGTTTTTTTTTATAACAAATGTATTACAGTGAAAAATATTTTATTAATCGAAGAAAACTTTTTTTACACAAAAATACCAAACTTATAAAACAAAGAAACAGTCTAAGTGCCAAAGTAACATAGGTTTAAAATCATCTAGGTTCCAATTAAAGTTACTTGAAAAAAATAAAAACACGAACTTAAAGTTAATTAATACTTATTCCTTGGCATCGTCAATCAAATTTTCCCAATAACTTTAACACATTGCATTCGGCATATTCTTCCAATTCATTGAAAAATTTCTTAGTTTTCATCATATTGGGATTTTACTAATTAACCATAATCCACGCAACTTGGGATATTTTTAACTTTGTGGTATTTAACACATCGTCAGCAAGTGCCTGAATGTCTTTAAAGTCTTCGGATTTCATCGTTAAAACTTTACAAGGAATTTTATAACACGCATTCAATATCATTTATTTTATATTATCTGGTGTGAAGGCTGTTGTTGCTTTTTTTCGCTTTTCGATTTGAGCGAAGTTTCGATCTCAAGCGAGATACGAATGTCCAGAAACTAAACATTTTTGTTCAACTTGATCATACACTCCCTAAGCCACCAAGTATATTAACAGCATGAGCCTTATTTTATTGTTATTTTGACCAATGCAGTTATATGATCAAATTTTTCCTTCTTGGAAAATCCCTCTGTAATAAAACTTTCAAAAGACAAGAAGAAATTTAATTTCCACCACAACCTGTTAACAACATGTAGCACATGTAGGTATAGTCTAAATCGGTAACGGTAAGTTTTCTCTCAAAAAACAATGTAAGCAAAAATAAATTATCTCGATTTCAGGTGGCTTCTTACCTGCTTTACGAATACCTCTGTAATTTGTGTATTGAAGACCACTTAGCCTTAAAGGTTTTCTTTCTTTGTTGACACTTTCACTACCCTTTTTCCTTCTTTTAATAATTGTATTTTGAGAACCAATTTCCACTTGATCACTCATTTCGACTAATAATACGGTTATACCCTCAAAACTGCGATACAGCAATGTGTAATGAGTTGGCACTTAGACAGTTTTTCCGTTTAAGGACCAGACTTAGACGTGGCGCCATCTTCAAACCATGTATTTAACGATAATATAGTGAGTATCGTACTTGACTCTTTGTATGTTATTGGCTTTGGCACATAGACTACAATAATAATAAAATTTCAAATTTGGGCCATCCGGCACTTAGACGGTGTTGAATTTCCACGCTTCATGTATAGAAACGCATCTGCGTCAAACATACATATTTTTTAAGGTGAGGCACATATCGTACCTAGCTCAAATTTTCAGGGTTTATTCTACATGGATTGAAATAGTTTTTACAATACAATCCAAAGATGAGTGATGAAAGAGATTATTCACAAAAAAAAATTAATTTAAGATTTTTTGCATTTTTTTTTTGCTCCGTTAAAAAGTGACATAACCATTGTTAAGACTAACCATTCAGCTCATCTCAAAGAAATATCACAGTCCTAGACCTAATGGTTTAGTTGTAATTGCGATTGAAAGTTCATTATCCCGTTTTTTCCGAAATTCCACAAAATTTCAAATATCTCCTTAATTATAAAATTTCGGACCAAACATATAGGGGTTCATTCGATATGTTTTGAGGTCCTCTATCACCTGACTTCCGTAGATCCACTACTAACCTGACACCCTGTACATATATCTGTACCCGAAAGTCAACTTACCGCTGATTTGGGTTTCATCCAAAATATGCACCTTCGTCTTACAAATCCTCGCCCCAAGCACACAGAACAACGACCTCACGAAATAGTGATCCACTACTAACCTGACACCCTGTACATATATCTGTACCCGAAAGTCAACTTACCGCTGATTTGGGTTTCATCCAAAATATGCACCTTCTTCTTACAAATCCTCGCCCCAAGCACACAGAACAACGACCTCACGAAATAGTGGAACTCGAACATCAAAAACAGGCCTAAAACGAAACTGGTGCACGCGAAAAACACGCAACACGCTTCCATGTCCCCTTATTTGTTTAACTTATTGAAAATTTGTTTATAAACTGTGGAAATTGTTTTAAATTTTATCAAAACATGAAGGCGTGGCAAGCGCTGATTGATCAGCATTTTCGATGTTTCTGGGAAATTCGTTTAGTAAGGTAGCAGGTGAGGAGTATAAATTGTCGGAAAATCGAAAATTTGGACATGTTTGTCGCGATTTCCCAGATGAAAATTGGATGTTTACGTGCGCGATGATGCGGAGTCGTTCAGCGGCAGTTCGTTCGATGTCCCCGCACACGCGCAACGTCGACCTAGGGCAAGCTGCTTGTATCTAGATAAATTAGTCCGGGTTATGAGCTTGAATTTATTGTAAAATTCATCTTTTACACCAGAGAGACCTTCTTTAAGATTATTGGGTAATTCTGAACAAATAATGCATCAAGTAGGTTGATCCGTTTCCCGCAATGCAACCAGACATGTGTACAGAGTGTCTCAAAATGAACTGATAGTCGGAAGGCCAAGTGGAGACCGAATGACCCCTAGGTATCCGGTTTTTTACTTCCTGCGGCACTGCAATATTAAGTATTATGTTTTTTGACGTTCTTTGATATATACATCACAAAAAGTCGTGTCATGCGATTGTGAAGAGGGTTTTGATGAAATTTTCATACAATGTTACAACTATGGGTTTTGAAAGTCGATTCAGTGTCGGCGTAATTACGAGCAAACATAGTTGAGGCACAATAACTTTATTTTTGACGTTTTAGAGGATCCTGGTCATTTTTTTCCAATTTCGGGGTGAAAAATTCGGGATGGGAGGTTATGGGGGGCGCAGGAAGGCATATCTTGATTTTTTGACTTTGGTATACTTATATGCGTTATGGATTATCATAGATTTCCCCGTACATTTATGCTTAAAGCTCAAAACGATAGAGGAATATTTCGGATCCTCACGCGATGATAACACGTGTTTCGCGGTCCGTTCGTTGCATGCGTGTAGCAGTTGGCCTCCGCTATTCGCAGCGTTGCCAGATAGGTAAGATAGAATTCTCCCAGAAGAACGTGTGATTTATAACTTTATAAAAACATAAGTTATTCGTGAAAACTGTCACCATCTAGTTATTTCTCTCGAAACACTAAATTGCTAGATCAACCGGCCTGTTCACACATCTATTCTGCTTTTTTCTATTTTATGACTATGGATTCAGTTCTGCCAACTTACAATTAATACGGTAGATGTTTCTGGAGATAGGTGCGAGTGCGATCATGAAGGAAGAAAAGGCACCATAAAGATAAAAATGTTATTCCGAAGTTTCAGTTATGTGTAGATAAAAATGGAATAAAATATCTCAAAAATACCCAAAAGTTTTGTTTTCTCCCCAAAAAATCCCCAAGTATTTTATCCCCCAAAAATGCTTTAGTTGCCAGATAGGTCGCGAGAAATAATCGTACAAGTTCGTTAAGTCTGCAGATTTCCATTTCGACTGGAAAATCTAGCCGAGAGTCCAGGGACATCGAATCGTCATCGCGCTTAAGAATTGGACATTAAAACTGACACTCTCCAGCGTATTCTAACAAAATATTCACACCTGTATGCCTACAAAGTCCAATTGACTCAACAGCTTATGCCAATAGACCATGCACAGCGAAGAGAGTTTAGCAATTGGATTCTTGGCCAACAGTATGTGAATTGTGATTTTGTAGACAAAATCATTTTTAGCGATGAGGCCCATTTTCATCTCCATGGCTGCGCCAATAGACGCATTTGTGGTACACAGAATCCAATAGTAATTCATGAGAAAGCTAAGCACCCAAAAGGTGTCACTGTTTGGTGTGCATTATGGTCTGGAGGAATTATTGGACCGTTTCTCTTTGAGAACGAGGCGGGTAATCCATTAACAGTGAATGGGGAACGTTCTCGTGTTGCTCATTTTTTGTGCCACAATTAGAAGTCATGGCTTTTAATGACAAATGGTTTCAGCAGGATGCTTATGAAACATTGGCAGTTTTGCACAAGTTTGCTCCTGGTCGAGCCATCTCCCGGTTTGGTGACAAGAATTGGCCACCACGCTCTTACGATTTAACACCTTTGGACTTTTGGATTTGGGGTTATCTGAAGTCACAAGTTTATGCCAACAAGCCTGCAACCAGCGAGACACTGGCAGGTGAAATCAGATGCTGTATCAAGGAGATACCACGACATGTGTTCAAATTTTATTAAACGAGTGCGAAAGTGCCAGCGGAGCCGTGGCAGCCATTTACCTGATGTGTTGTTTCATACATAATTCCAAGTGTATACACCATAATCCAATAAATATTTCAGTTGTTTGTTACGAAATACCATGCTTAATAGAACCTTGAAATATTGCGTCCTTATTGAAACACCCTTCACATATTCGCAGCTAGCTTTTTTCTCATAGGAGCTAACTTTTACCGAACGCAATCCTTCATGAACTTCCAAGATTTTTTAACTCATTACTTCATAAATACGTGAAATAAATGCCTGCTTTGTTATGTATTATTTAGCTAAGATGCTAAAGCTTTTCTAAGCCTGTCGGCATGTTTTCCCATTTACTTATATCCTAAAAACCTCTATACCTTATCAGCTATTAACTGTAAAAAGTTTGTTGATGTAGCGTTACTACATGCTACCTTAATGTTTGGTTTGGTTTGGGGTTCTACCACCCCGACTACATTCTCTTATTTGTCCCTAGGGTACCGAGATTGCGGGACAATCTACTTGAGGTTTTCTCAACCGGATTAACAGTTTCTTTAAGCTCTTCATAGAAGCCGCGGTGCCATGGCATTTAGGCTTCTGCCTGCGCAGCAGGCGAGTGAAAAAAACATCGTCATTTGTCATAAGTCATTTTGTCGAATGAAGAACGCTGTTTGTGAGAATTAATCAATTATCGTGTGACATATTAGCTATATTGCATGCGACACTAACCATCCGACATTCGGAAACACCCTTCCCAGATCGAAAAATATTTTTTTGGAGTTTTAAAAAACTGTTAATGTTCTCTCAACGACACTGGAACCAGAAATCATTTGTTGCAAAAAGCTAATTTCGATGAAGATATTGTGAAAACAAAGAACAATGAATCTAATTCCGCTAAACGGCCCAAGTTCATAGCCTAGCCCCTGACTAATGTATAATGAGCATTGATGAATATCCGATAAAAATAGATACGTTTGCATCGTAACTGCACGGTGTTTTATGGTTTCTGTTTCATATGTAATTAAGTAGATTTTTATCGTACTACCGTATATTGATGAGAATGTTGTATTTCAGAGTACTTACCAGACACGGAAACCTGTCAAACATCTTTCTGTCACTGTCACCATAACAGATCAAAAAATTAAGTGTGTTATGATTTTCAAAGCTCCTTTTCCTTAAGGTATTCTATACTAAGTGACATATAAATCCGAACACCCAGTTTAAATGGTATTATTTTAATAAAAGTTGATGAATGTATTTATCTTACTGTAAATAACTAGTGAAAAAATTTTCAGCCTTATCAGTTGGACATTCCGGTTTTTATACTGCTTTTTTTTAATTCACTAATGCTCTAAAAATGAATACTTGAGCCTCAGTAAAGAATCAACGTTGGCGGATTTTGGTTCTTGACATCCTTTACGATCGGTTACGATGCCTAGAGTACGGAGACCTGTACGATTTCGTCAACTTAGTGAGTTTGATAGGGGCCGTATAGTGGGACTTCGGGAAGCTGGACTTTATTTTTGGGCAATTGCAGTTAGAGTGCAAAGAAGTGTAGACACTGTGGTTAGGTGTTGTCAGGCATGGCTTCGAGAAGGACGTATGCAAAGCGCAAGGGGCACTGGACGCCGCCGTAGAACACCAGACCGTGAAGATCGCCGCCTAAGATTATTGGCCTTAAGGGACCGTTTCTCCACTACCAGGTCCATTGCAAATGAATGGTTTGCAGAACACGGAAGACTTATTGGCATGCGAAGTGTTTACCGACGAATGAGAAGTTTTGGCTTGTTTTCATACCGGCCACTCTGGGTCCTCCGTTTAACTCGAGAACACCGACATAATCGCCTTGAGTGGTGCAGACAACGGTCACTCTGGGATCAGGAATGGGAAAGTATTGTCTTTAGTGACAGTCTCGATTTTGTTTAGGCATGCACGATGGTCGTGCCAGGGTTAGAAGGCGACGTGCTGAAAGGAGGAATCCACAGTTTTTTGTTGAAAGACATGTTCATCACACTGTTGGAGTTATGGTTTGGGGTGCTATAGCTTATGGTTCCAGGTCACCTTTAATCTTCATCAGAGGTAACATGAACGCGCAGCGTTATATCCACGAAGTTCTAGAACCCCATCTTTCATCCCATCTTGACACCCTGGCAGATCCAACTTTCCAACAAGATAATGCCCGACCACATGTTGCAAGAGTCACAATATACTTCTTTCAACATAATGATGTCACATTGTTACCATGGCCACCAAGATCTTCCGCCTTATCCCCAATTGAGCACGTGTGGGATATGATGGGTAGGAAATTGTTCAATTTGCAACGTCCTCCTCAGACTCTAGAAGCAGTTCGAGAGCAGTTGGTGGTTGCCTGGAATGAGATACCACAGGAGGACATTGACCACGTGATCAGAAGCATGCCTAGGCGCGTTGGAGAATGCGTAGCACATCAGGGTGCATCCACACATTATTAAAGGTCAAAGGGCTTTAAAGCAGCGCAATCATTTTGAAATTTTTATCATTTACTTATTATGCTTCATTAAGTACTTATACAAAATTTTATTAAAATATAACCATTTAAACTGGGTGTTCGGATTTATATGTCACTTAGTATATTTGGATCTTAGAGATTTGGCCGCATCAAGAAAAAATTGTCTCCTCCCGCTTTCCAAAAAGTTTTGGGGCTTGCATATTCCCACGACACCTGCCGGAGCTGTTTTTACACTCCAAAGAATTTCGGGAGTACATTCGAATGTTTTATACTGGCCTTTTTGGGAAAATACCTGCGCGCGTCCATCGTAATTGGTAGGATTGTTGTCAAATAGTTGTTGGCACCAAGATCAAAGAGACCGAAAGTTTCTGATGTGTCTGGGTGGCTCATTTCAAAATATCTCACCAGGCTAATTTTCTTACTATAAATACAGTTTGCCGACAATTTATCATCAGTAATCGGATCAATCGAATTTCGCTCAACTGTAGAAACGCGGGAAGGAAATAAAACATCCTTGCTGAGAATCTTCAAAGTTTAAAAATTCTTGCGTGTC